AATTGTGCGTTAACATGTACTGGCAAGTGCATCCTCACCTACATCGATATCTGGCATCCTCCAATACAAACGGTAAATAGTGCTTGTGGAAGATATTGGGCTCTTCACTAGAAATTTTTTCGAAAGCTCATATTAAAGTATTAATATGTATAAATCTTGCTTATTTAATTATTCAGTTTTTGCAAGGATCACACGAGCCATTTAAACACATTTTGACAAAAAATTAATTAGATTTGATTTAATGTACGCTGTCTAAATCGTGCGGTGTGCCTATACAATGCACAAATCTTCTTATAAAAACACATTGTTAATTGAGGTGAAAGAGGGTGAGTACGTGTATTCTTCTCATTGATTATCCACACTCCAAAATTTTTGAAGATTTAGGTACTAATGAAACAAATGGAGATCGACTGCAAAGATTTGATTTTGTTTGATTAAACGATGTTGTTTTTTATTACTTATAATTATTTTAATTCTAATAAACAACTGAGTTTTCATAAAATTTATCTATAGAAAAGTATTTTTTTGCTTGGATTTAAGTGCACCAGACAGGATCACAAATAACATAAGATTCAAAATAATTGTTCACATTATGACAACAAGAATTAATGAAAAAGTAAATGATAAGTCGAATACATAAAAGAAAAGAATTTACATTCAACACAAGTGCAACTTATAATATCAATACCAAGTTTGTTCTCAAGTGAATTTTTTATATTTTCTTTTTATATTTTTAATCTAATTGGTATGACGAAAGAGTGAATACTTTTCAAAATATTTCCATAGTATTATTTAGAATTACTTCTTTTAATTAATATATCAAAGAAAAATGAATCATGGTCTACACCTTTTTTATTTCCTTTTCGATAAATAGGAAAGAATAACGAAGAGAAGATAAAAAGAAATAAGATTATTTTCTACAAAATCTTAATGAATTCATCAACGATTATATTATCAAGTCAACTCAATTTAGCTCAAACATATGTAACTCGTTATTTAATGATACCTGTTTATATATTTGGTAATATCGGTAACTTAATGAATATTCTTTGATTTTTCCAACCTGATCTTCATTTAAACAGTACTTGTTCTTGGTATTTTATTAGTTTTTCAATTGCTAATTTATTATTAATTGGTATAAGTGGTACAACTCGAACACTACCTTGCGTCACTAGTTTTACCTTGGAATCCACTTCACTTTTATTTTGTAAAATTCGTTATTATTTCGCTCATTTTACTTTACTTCTTGGCCGTTATCTTATCTGTTAATTGTAATTGATCGATGGAGGATAACATCATCCAATGAATCTATTCAACGATTAAGTTCTGTTGAAACAGCTCGTTATGTTATTATAGGGTGTGGATTGTTCTAATGATATTATTTAGTATACTTATTCGTGTTAATATTCGTCAAAGTCGCCATCGTATTGAAGCAATATCTAAAACTGGAAATAGTTCTCAAAAATTATCTCGAAAATCGAATCATCCAAATGAAATGAAATTTATTTGATTAGCTTTGTTACATTGTCGAATACGGGTTATACAGTATATGTTACTTGTGATTCTGCAACTAGTTCACAAACGAAAAGTCCGGATCGACAAGCTATTGAAGGATTTATTTATGCATTTACAATTCATCTTTGTTATATATCTGCTTCGGTAAGGTTAGAGTGAAAATATTACTTAAAAATGATTTCGATTTTTAGTTTCCATTTGCAATATATACGTTGGCATCATCGATATTTCGCAAGGAATGTATGTCTAGAATTCGTCGTCTTTATACAAAAGTACTGCATTTTTGTGCATAACTATTATTCTAAAAACTAACTTTATATATCGTATTTTTCTTCCTATATCAAAGATTAAATTTTAATCAGAACATAGCCATGTATGTGTTGTTTTGTCTAGTGAAATTTTATTTATTTTATTAAAAGATTGAAATTATTATCATTTGCTTGTTTTTTTGCAAAAATTCTATGGATGAATACTGTTAGACGAAACATGAGTGCACGGCTCAATAAGTATGTTAAAACAAATTAGAAGAAATCAAAACTAATAAGACAATTGTGAAAACAAAAAAAAGTTCAAGTAGGATAAATGTAAGGCGACTGAAATGAATATTACATTTATATATGATTTATTTATTGAACAATTAAATATTTTCTTCAGATTCTATTTGTATATTATGTATTTCAATATTGTTCTCAGGTTCAACTCGATTATTTATGAAGCAACACCAATATCTCCATCGCTGCCAATATGTTTTCACTAAAACAAATTTTACTTGACGGCGAAAACGTGATGAGAATGTTATAAAAATATAAAAGCTGATCTAAAAATAAGTCAAAATCTTACATATATAAATTAGAAAAGAAAATAATTTTACCATATAATTTATCATGGTTATAGAAAGAAAAATTGCTTGTATCAATCGACCAATTGCATATTGCATAGGCATACTTCGTGATGTAGGAAAATTAGTTACATAGATACGATAAGCACTATAAGGTGATGACACACAAACGTAGACTACTACACGCATAAGAACCATTGCTGTCATTTGTTTATCTAATTTACGACGAACAATGGGTAATTGTCGTCGGACTATATGACGAACATTATGATAAGCTAAGATACTAAATGATGATGCAATTATAATAGGTAGAAATCCAGTTAAAATTGGATAAAAGAAAAATGTTGAATACTGAATCCATGTATGATCTGATATGACACATCCCAATGTTGGTTGAACATTATAAGAAGAGCCAAGCATAATGCTATGAATGATCGCAAAACAAATAAATATAAATGCAAAGTATCGACCTAATTTCAATGTGCAAATTTGTCTTAAATTGTAACGATAATTTGTCGAGAAGAATTGATCAACAGCAGAAAAACATATCATATAAATAGTAGTGACTACACATATTTGTGATAATATATATCTAAATTTACACCAAATTGCAGAACGTCCTGTTGCATCATCTCCATATATTGATGTTAAAATAGTTAAACTAATAGATACAAATTGATAAATGAAGTTAGAAATTGATTCAATGGTTATATAGAAGGCGCATCGATTAGTTCGAAATAATTTCAATTGAGTAAAAACGAGAATATTCAAAGCATTACCAATAACTCCAAAACTAAACATAATATAACCAGTATAAAGTGAATATTGTGTAGCAAATTTGAGAATTCCATCAGATACCGATGATGATGATGACATGATACTTTATTCAGAATGATATATTCTTTAGTATTTGTATTTTTTTTCTTTTTCTTCTTGTCATTTATTATTTATAAAGCATCTTAACAGAAATTACTGTCACGATTGATAATAAAAGTCTGGTATTACTAGTATGACGTCTTAATTTTGAATATAAACTATAAAATTAAAATTTAATAAAAGAATATTTGAATTTCTTATTAGAGCTTTTCTCTGCACTATACCTTCACATAAATAATAAAACCAGAATGTATGTTAATCTTTTATGTCAAAAAGAAACATGACATTAAGCTATTTAATTAAACAATAACTGCAATGCATTACCAGAAGCTCTTTAGGATATTAAATTTCATTTTCCCCTCAATAAAGATTACAATCTCGCTTTAAAATAAATTAAACAATGAGACAATTTTAAATTGGCCGTCTAATTATTTTCATTCATATTCTCAAACTTTTGATATATTCTAATAGCATTCATGAGGGTGTGGATGAAGGTGTCGGTGTATTTACTTTATAGTCACCCATACACACCCACACTCTCACGATTGTTTAAATAAACAATGACAAATAGAACAGATCAAGATTATGTATAAAACAAATGATGTTGAAATTATTTTGAAATACTCGATAGAATTTTTACACATGTGAAACAATTTATTTATATTAAATATGTATAACAGATTATTCAGATTATTCACAAGTAATGAAAACTTAGAAAACGATTTTCTAAATTCTCTCGTTTTCTTTCAATAATTATTTAAGGTCGATTCATTACTGGTTTTCTTGATAGTTTTTTGTTCTCTTTTGACAAATCAGAGAATCAACATGTGTTAAAGCTTAGACAGATAATTAGTAATAAATATAGGGTTTTAAAATATTGAAAGTCATGTTTTTAGTTATTTTTGTATATGCGTAGATGATGATGCATTGGAGTTATTTCAATAAATATAAGTGCTGTCGGATGTTCACATAATGTTCGATTTTCCAGTTGGTCGCGTTAAATCAAAGAATCGAGCGTTCTTTATATAGTAACTTGTTCAATTATGTATTCTTTTGATTTTTACATGGCTCACATAATTTTCTAATTGACGAATAAGATAATATAGTACGTGTCGTCTCTTTTAACTTTTCTCTCTTTTCCTCTTTATCAATTCATTTCTCATATTCTATTTTACAAGCAATATTCAATTTAAGAAAAACCTTTCATGCCAATTCCAGATTCAATTCGTTTTTACACCTATTTCCCTCTTCTAATTCCATCAATACCATGCTCAATTTTCATTCTTTATCATTTGCTTACTAATCGAATACTTCGTCAAGCTCTAAATAATCATGTGATTATTTTAATTCTTATTCTTGGTCTTGTCTATGAGTTAACTGATGTTATATGGTTGATGCATTATTATCGAGTTGGCGTTTCCTTATTTCAAGTACCAACATTTTGTCTCATATGGGTGTTCATTGATGTTGGAATATTTGCAACAATAACAATTTTAGTTGCATGGGCATCTATTCAACGACATATTCTTATCTTTCATGATAAATGGGTTTCAACAAAAAGAGGTCGCCTATTATTTCATTACATACCTTCGTTTCTATTTTTAGTTTATCCTATTCTATTTTATGTATACATTTTCATTATTATGAATTGTGAACAACCACTTGACTATGAAATAATACGTTGTGGTTATTCTTTTTGCGCTTTATATGATCCAATAATTGGAACATTTGATAGTATTCTACATAATATTATTCCCACTTTTATTATTGTTACATTTAGTTTTCTTCTTCTTGTACGTGTATTATGGCAAAAACATCGTTTACGTCAACGAATTCAATGGCGTAATTATCGAAAAATGGCAATTCAATTGCTATCTATTGCTAGTATTTATCTATTCTTTTATTTTCCATCTATGATTGTATATCTTATGTTCGAATCCAATGTATCAGTTAGCGATGGCGCTTTTGATTATTATTTTTCGAGTCTTTTTTTCATTCCTCATATTATTATGGTGATTCCTTTTGCAACGATTTTCTCACTTCCTGAACTTCAAAAAAAATTAAAAATAAACATTTTATTTTGGAAACGACCAGTACATGCTGTGGCTCCAAGAACAATAGGAATGAATCGTACAGGAAATGCTCAAACAGCTGTAATTACACAAACTGTAAAATAATATATTTTAATGTATTTATCATTAAAGAATTAAGCAGAAATAATAAACATCGAGGATGTGGATGTCTCTATTTGATTCTTGATCAGAATAAAAATGTCTGATATTCTGAGTAAAAATCAACAGTAACGATAAATATTGAAAATTTTCAAGAGCAAAATATAAATAATGAATCTCATATTTCGATCAGTTTTACTGTCAATAAGTAAAACTAAATAAGCTACAGAATATTATAATGAAAAATTAAGAAGAAATAAACTAGATACCTCATAATTCACAACCAAAAGAGAACAATAAATATCTATATGACTGATACCTTTTTCACTTGATATACACTTCTGTACTAAATTCAAGTCACTATCAATCAATAGAGATTTGAGTGTGAGTATTTTATTTCAACCACATCCACACTCATACCTTCAGTTTTCCTAGTATTAATCAATATTTATTTTTATAAAATACAAAAATGCTTTTATTTTAAAAAATATTTTAATTAATTATTATTGTTTTTATTATATAATTAGAAAAAAAATTGAAATCGGATATCTTAATTAAATTTGTAATATTAAAAACTTTTATTATTCAATAATAATGAAGCTTAAGAATTAACACAAGCTCGACTCGGTCGTTGTGGCTGACGACGAAATCGTTGTTGAAGTCTTTTGATTGGGTCCAAAGAATATTCTTGCAACTACGATTGTTTGAAAACAAGAATTTTATTTACTTGACATGTGCGTCCTGCAACAACCATTTGATAACGTATTTGACTATTTTCATTAGTGACGTATCCAGGATTTGAGAGGTGATATGACAATGCCTTACAGAATGTTTAGGGTGTAGGTGTGGGTGGATTGAATAACATTTAAATCCACACGCACACTCACACTCATACACACATTACCCACACGTTCAGTATGAAAACTTTTGTAACGCCTTATTTAAACTTTTGTTCTATTCTGGCTATCTAAAGAATAATGAG